ATTTCCACTAGGTACGTGAAGATTGGAGAACAATTGGGAGATATCTTCACAAAGGCTCTGATTGGAATTTGAGTTGATTATTTTTGTAACAAGCTGGGTATGATTAATATCTATACTCCAACTTGAGGGGGAGTGTTACAGATGTATATTTGGTAGTTATAGGTTGCATATATTTAGAAGTTAATTTCCAGGATTATAGGGATCACATTGATATTGTATCCTAATATAGATTGATCACATACCTAGTTTAGAACACTGCAAATATATATGTATTCTTTTTCTCTATGAATAAGACAAGTAGAATATTCATTCTTAATACTTGTTACAATCCCGATAGATATTTATTCAAACATGTTTACTTTCAGTAATTCCGACTGACTTTGATACTAAATTTTAGTTGATGTATGTTCTTATGGCAACTTTGTTTTTGGTTCTTAGATTTTCACATTGTTCTTAAGACCAAAGGACCACAACTATCGATTTTACTGGAATATTTATCACCATGGTGTTGGATATGCAATACTAGTCCTTGGCATCCTCAATATTTTTTAAGGTCTGGACATCTTGAATTCTGCAGAAAAGTGGAAAACAGCTACATTCTGGACATCTTGAATCCTGCAGAAAAGTGGAAAATAGCTACATCATTGTGATCGCAGTCTTGGGTGGGATCGCTGTACTGTTGGAAGCGGTTACTTGGATTGTCGTTATCAAGAGAAAATCTAACAAGTTGACGAAGCCATATGATGGATACAACAACGGGCAAGCAGGCCCGGCTCAAGGGCTAGTCAGGTGAGGCACTGCCTACGGCCCCCAAAAATAAGGGCCCAAATTTTTTATAATTTTTTTAATATATTACAAAAATAAAAATGGTGTATGATTATTTATCCAGGCCAAGGAGGAAAAAAAAGTCAAAAAGACTCAAATTTATTATAAATTTTTTACATATATTCCCATCCAAAGTTTGATAATATAGTAAGTTTGTATCTCTAGTTTCATATATTCCAATTTACACCCCTAAATTAACATATTAAATTTCTTTTAACAATAAAAGGCTAAAATAGTTATTTACATGTCTCAAATTACTCAACCCCAATTCCATCTCAAATTTAGACATTCATATAAATTATCTCCACTCCTCTTTCGCCGTCAGTCGTTTGGAGCTGCCTTTAATTCTTGTTTAAACAAATTTAGCTACAAAGATCTTATCTTCAAATCTTTTTATGAACAAATTAACTAGGCAAGTAATCTAAAGTTGGTAGTAGTATTTTCAATATTTAAAACAATAAGTAGCATAATCATGCAAAAACAAAAGAAAATATGCACCTTTAATTCTTGTTTAAACAAATTTAGCTACAAAGATCTTATCTTCAAATCTAATAAAAAATTTGTAATAGACAAAACGATGTTGCCTTTAACATATTGCCAAGTGTATGTTACTGTTAGCTAAAAGTCTTCACCCTTAATCTGATGTTTATTCAGTCACAAGCCTCACCTTCAATATTATAAATGTTATATTTCACGGTATAAATCAGAAGTCTGACAGCCTGAACCATATTCCAACTGATGATCAACCCATAGAAACAGACAAAAAACAAGTAGACACTCAAAACGAGTACATGCTCAAGCATTATTGACCAACTCCAATTACCAATTGCCATTCATTTAGTATGAATTATAATTTCAAGTGATTCGATTGCTTTCTAAAAACTGCATTATGGAACTCTCAAGGGTTTTGCCCTACTGTACCCACAAACACTTTCTTTGATCATCATGTCTAACTGGGTTCCCTTTTCAAAGGCATGTAACATGTGTTTGTTTCATTTTTTTCCAATCCTATCCTATCCAATCCTATCCAAAATACATATTTATTTCAATATTCTCAAAAATCCAATCATATTCTATTCAACTCAAAATATTTAGATTTTCTAACCCCTTAGATTTGTTAATTTATCTAAACACCCCCAATAATAAAAGTTTATAAATTAACAAAAACACCCTCACCCACCTACATATTCCCAACAACTGGCTACCACAGTCAGAAGGTAGCCGAAATTTGCTGAAATGACACACGATTGGCTAGATGTGGCGATCGTGCGTCGATATGGCATTTTTCAGCCAGATTCATGGTGGATCTAGCCGAAAAAGGCTAGATCTACGGCAAAAGATTTGGCAATTGATGGCCACATCTGACAACATATAGTTATTAATGACGGCCAAGATATGGACGTCATTGACGACTAGATGTGGCTATCAACAACTAGATCTATGGTCGTTGATTTGGCCTTTTCTGGCCAGATCTAGCTGGTCATGCGCCATTTCAGCGACTTTCGGTTACCCTTCGGTGATGGTGGTTGGCTACCAGTATTTAATGGATAGGTGGGGGTATTTTTGCTCATGTTCATTATTTAATTGTAGGGGGTGTTTAGCTAAGTTAACAAATGTAGGAGATTAAAAAATAATCCAAATATTTTCAGAAAATGTTTTAAAAAAATTTACCACACACATTTTCAAATTTAAATCATGTACTCTTGTAATAATAACCCAACTCAACTTTTAAAAAATTAATACTTAAGATACTCTACCAAACACACCCTTATTAGAACTTCCTTTACTTAGTCATAAATGAGAGAACGGTACAAAAATAAATCTTCTGCAAGGCAATCTTTCATCTAAAAAAAATGTAAATAGATAAGTGAAACATATACCAACGCTATTTCCTCTAACCATTCATTATTATTAGTATGGGTGTTTAAAAAGTAGTCAAATTTTCCAACTAATAATAAAGAGATGAAAATCACCATGAATTAGCTCTAGGACAGCAGCAACAACAGCAGCATTCATTAAAATCGATCCCCCGAAGTCCACCCTTCTTTAATTCCTGAACATCACCGATAGTAGTCCCACTAGGTGAGGCAAGCAACATCATCTTTAAGAATTAGTGATCATTGATGCTGCTCCTAATACCTGCAGAAGAAATACTTTAGTTGGCTGTGCAGAATTAATTTCAAATAAAATAATACTAATGCTGAAGCTTAAGAAAACAATTGCATGAAAGAGGCAAGAAATTAGAAAATACATAAACCCAGAAACATAAAACTGAAGAGAAAGAAACGAAAAAGTCACTTCATAAATTTTACTCATATTCAAGTCTGAAGAGATGTGAGATGGTTCTAAGATAATGGAAAAACTATTGAACACAATTGTTTCAAGTTGTAGTGTAACTTCATCATTTTTGTAGGATATTTTTGTCAAACTTATGTTGTATGTACGCACAACAATTGTGTGTATACACAGGTCTGTCAAACTTACGTTTTTGGCTTGTTTGTGTCGAGTGTGTGTACAACAGTTCTGTACTCGCACACTCACATAAGATATTCTAAACTTGGTACAAGTTGCGTTTTTGTCTAAAGCAGCAAAAATATTTATTCCCATCTTTTAAGCTGTCTTAAGGACCACATACAGATGTCACAATATCCTTTTATGGTCCAAGAGAAAAACGATGTTTTTTTCCGATTTGGCTGTGGTCTAAAATCAAAGTTGGAATCTTTTCCTTATTTGGACAAACATGAGTTGACCCTTGTTTGCTGACTTGGCACAAATTGTTGAGCAAGAAAACTCCTTTATATATTATCTTTAATCTTGCACATTTGTGACTAACTTTCTGATATTTTATTTGCTTGTGCTTTGAAATTTTTAGAGAGTGTTTTTCCTTAGAAGGTTCATGCTATGTTATAGTGCCAAACTTGCATCATCTCATATACTTGTTGAATGGTGGCTGGAACTTGGTTCTTGTTGATGCTGGAGCGTGAGTGTGAAGATTGGGTGGAGCTCAAGTGTTCTTTGGGCGTGTTCTTGACATGAGGAGATTCTTGGAGCAACAAGACATTAGAGATTCAGAGGGAGATGTTTAGTGTAACTAGAACATGGAATTCTCTTTGCTATAGCTAAAATCGATTTTGACCTATATCTTATAATGTTTGTTATTTAGTGGATTTGCTTCGATCTGGACAAGATCCTATGGATGTAGGCTAAGAGTAGTTTTAGTCGAACTATGTATATGTTGGTATACTTTACATTTATTATTTATGGATGTTGATTCATGCTTAATTTGATAACCATTAATCAATTTGGTAAAAACTTCCACTACACTTTAAAAATGGTATCTAAACATTAACTAGAGTTCATCAACTCTAACAATTTTCTCATCGGTTCAGGGGCCGGAAGGCTTTCTCCATTCCCCATCCCACTCATTATAGTGTTAAAGTATTTTCGTAGGATATGACTTGAAGTTAGTAGAAATTACTACAAAGATTAGTTAATAATATAAGCAAATCTTATCTCTTTCTTTTTATTTATTTATTCATACATTTATATCTTTCAGATTGAAAGAAAGATTTAAAAAAATCAAATCATAATATAAGAAATTAATAACTCTAATATTGGTATTGATACCATATACTATATTAAATATCATAGTATACAACAAAAGTAGTTTAATGAATCAAGTATTAATATAAGATGAGATTAATAAATTAAACTGATTTGTTATATATAAAATGAAGAAAAATATTACAATAATGATATGCTTACTCACAAACTTACTAATCGTTTTACTCACTTTTGTTAAAATTACATATGGTATCCGTACTATGCTTATGGTACCCGTACTATGTTTTATATTTATAAAGGTGAGTGAGGCGGTTAATAAGTTCGTGAGTAAGCATAACATTATTGAAAATATTACGCGTCAGTTAATATTTATATTTTGATTTATTGTTGGTGGGGGGTCTCTCATTGTTAGGGAGACAAGTTATACAATTTAATATAATTAGACGAAAAACTGAGTAGAATGGAGCTACAACTAATTTAACTTGCATAGAGAAAAAGTGAGTGAGATCGAATCTATAATCTTTAACCCAAATACCCTCATATTAATTGAAAATTTTCAGTGGGGGCTCGTGGTCCCTTAATAGGTCTATCAATGCCTACTATCGTTACTCTTAAGTCAAACATTTTGCCACACTCTTGTCACTGTCTTTGTCTCTAACGTTGAAACTTCTCCGTTTTGGTTGATTCTCATATACTATGAATTCAAAAAGATTACTTAATAATAAAGTCATATCAATAAAATCACACCTCATATTTTATTCAAGTAAGTAAAAATACATATGTAATTGCCTCACAAAAATAAATACAGACGGACATTATATTGTAGATAAATGTAATGGTGTACATTAGCTCTTACTTGGCTTAAACAATTCTAAAGTCTGAATAACAGTCAAGACAAGTGCTAAAACTGCACCAATAAAAGCAAGAACCGTCCAAGGGCTAGAGAAATGAGTATGCAACCACTCTGCCAACCAAATCTTCAACCTGTTTTTGTAATGCTTTTCTATTCCATCTTTAACAGCCGCATATGCATATGGGTGTGACACCAAATTATCAGCTATCTCATTAAAAAGATCAGCAACTTGTTGATCACTCCCCAGAAAATTCAGAAGTATACCTTTTGATCGAAGCTCTTTAACATCTTCCGCATGGTCAATAAGCGAATCCATCAGGCATATGTATGAAGAAACTCCAAAATCGTCAGGACCATTGGGGCTGGACTCGTATGCTACCATGTTTAGCAGCATAGACTTCGTTGAATCATCAATGTATATTGGTGGAAGTTCCAGTTTTGCGAGATACCCGGGTTGAAAAGCAACGTCTGTGAATTTGTTAGTCTTGCTAGGCCTGAAATGGATTCCCACCTCCTTGAGCTCCTTCACTGACCGGCATGAAAACCAATTAGTAGGCTTTTGAGACCAAACGGATTTTACAAAGAGATCGGAGCGCACAAGGTCAAGAAGATGAGCAGGTTCATCATCTGATGTTCCTGCTTTTTCCTTTGCATGTTGCTCTTCTTTTTTCCAAAAATATAAATTACAGGGAAACTTTTTCTTGTAACTTTGAGGAGGAAGACTACGGATGTTTGTAAAAAATTTATTTAACATTGCCTTCTTTTCGGTTTCATCTCCGAACTTGACGCTCAATTTATTGACGACTTGAAAAGGAATTTGATTTTCCAGTAAGAACAAGTCTCTTTTAACGAGAGCTATCATGTTGCTTTTCATCTTCAAAGCCTCTTGTTCATCTTCAAAGCCTCTTGTTCATCTTTTGCAAGGCAGTAGATGAACCGGAGGATGAAGCAGGCATCAAGAAACATCATCTGAGAAAACTCCTCTTTGTTGAACTTGGCGACGGAGCTCTGGTCAGTGTAGCATTTTTTTGTAGCTTCCGCCACGCACCTGACCTTCTGATACAACTCTTCCAGCAACTTCAGGTCCCCATCTACAAACTGGAGCGCCATTGTACGTTTGTGCCGCTGCATTAACTCAAGCCTGGTATTTCCAGAGTGGTAAGGACCGATTGAAACCACCAGAGGATCATAGCAACCACTGTTATCTTTAACCTCACGAAGCATTGCTGAACTCTCTCTATCTTCGCCCGGATCACCTCTTGCTGATTCTGCAAGCTTTCGCCATTCACGAAAGATTCAAGCCACATTTTTTCATTCTCAGAAAGAGGACCTGGTGGATTGTCACCATTTATAAGGATTACAATACTCTCTAATTGATTCTCACCACCACCTGCTAGGCTGCTGCTGGAACCGGCTTCTCTTTCTCCCATTATTACTCTCTGTATTTCAAGTAAGGTTTGGTTATGTTATCAGTTTAGCAAGTCCTGAGCTGCTTATAAATTTGATGAAACAAACTAATCATAATTCGTAAGTGACAGTCTACTTGTGATTTGAAGCAAGTATCTCAACTTTTCTCTGTTATCAAGCTTGGAATTGCTGCTGCTACCAGTTTTAAAGAATAACCACTTTAGAAAGTGAGAATAATTATGTACCATATTATTTATAAGTACGACTTTGGACTGTTTTATAATCTTTAGTTCGAAAAAGAGTTTCCTTTAATTTATTCTAATATAAGGGGTGATGGCCTCTGTTAGGAACGATTGGGGATTGAAAAAAAGAACGAGAAGGAAGAGGAAGAATTTGGGAGGGGAGTTGACACGGAGAAGAGACTAGAGATTTTGGGTTATAATTGCCTTGAACTTTTATTCATCAATCTCACTCTTTAAATAAGAGTTTTAACACTTATCCAATACCTTATTTATGGAATAAAAAGACTTGCAAATATTAGACTTGAATTAAAAGACACACATGACACCAGACTTGAATTAAAAGACAAAACATGACTCCCTTTCAATCCAAGAGACGAGCTGGTATCTTCACAGTCCGCTTGGGCCTAGCTGCAACGGCGTCAGATTCCATAGGTGAATTATCCTGGACTGGTATGGCTGCAACATTCCCTATCGGTTGAGAAATGGCCTTGTCCTCAAGGACGGAAATGACATAATCTTCCCAAACTTCCCAGGAAGCATCCTCCAATGGCAAGTGCTCCCATTGAACAAGAACCTACTTGACAGGGACGCCGCGGCGGATGACCGAACATTCAGCCAGCAGGGCTAACGGTTTGTGAATAGGGCGATTCAAGACAGTAGATTCCAGCAAAGGATGGATGGTGGTGGTCGAACCTGCATGAAACGGTTTGAGTGGGGAGCAATGAAAAACTGGATGAATTCTCGACCCGGGTGGTAGTTTAAGTCGATAGGCCACTTTGCCCACCCATTCAATAACTTCGAATGGCCCATAATACCGGAGACTCAACTTGTGGGAGGAGCGACAACCAATAGAAGTCTGACGGTATGGATGGAGTTTGAACAAAACCTGGCTGCCAACTTCAAATTGCATGTCCTTCACCTTGTTGGTATTTGGCCGGAGAACTCTAAGAAAGAAAAGGAGAAAAAATGCTGAAAGTGAACTTTTTTTCATTATACTGTAACTTGAAATATATACACAACAAGGCTTACTGTTTTACCAACTACAACAACCATTCAGACTTTAAATTTTAAAAAACAAAGTTGGCAACTTAATACAAGCTTATCTTACGCTGATTACACCTAAACATGTCACAAAATTAATAACTCCAGCGCAACTCCAGCAGCTTCAATTTTGGCAGAAAAGGAAGGAATGCATCTGCTGCTTGGCGCCAAGAACTCATTCCAAAAACAAACTAACTTAACTGAATTTTCCAGCAAATTATCAATGCTTCAACACTCCTCCTTGATAATTTTGCTGGAAACACCAAGTCTGATCCTGAAGCTTTCAAACTTGGTTTTAGATAATCCCTTGGTTAGGATGTCAGCCACTTGATCATCACCATTGCAGTGGACCAGTTTTACTTCTCCTTCCTGCTCAGCTTCTCTCACTGCATGGAACTTGATCTTTATATGTTTAGTTCTCCCATGATGGACTGGATTCTTAGCCATAGCCACAACTGATTGATTATCACACATTATCACAGTAGGATGCTTCTGTTTCAGGTTCAAATCTTCCAGAATTTTTCTCAGCCAGACAGCCTGATTCACAGCAGTTGCAGCTGAAATGTACTCTGCCTCTACTATGGATTGTGCAACCGTTTCTTGTTTCTTCGACATCCAGTAGATTGCACCATGATTCAGGAAGAAAGTATACCCTGAAGTGCTTTTCATGTCCTCCACTGAACCACCCCAGTGACTATCTGAAAAACCGATTAAACCAAAGTCTTCTGACCTCCTGTACCATACTCCAAGTTGGCGCTCCCTTTCACATACCTGAGCACTATTTTTGCAGCTCTAAAATGTGTTTCTTTGGGCTGATTCATAAACCTGGACAATAGGCTAGTTGCAAACATGATGTCTGGCCTAGTTGCTATAAGATATAACAAACAGCCAACCAAGCTTCTGTACTGTCCCTCATCAACACTTTCTGCATTTCATCTTTTGACAGCTTCAGATTTGGAACCAGAGGCACATCCACTGATTTGCAATTTTCCAGATTGAACTTCTTCAACACCTCAATCGCATACTTCTCTTGATTAACAAAAATCCCAGCTGAACTTTGATGAACCTGCATTCCAAGAAAGTAAGCCATTTCTCCTAAATCTGTCATCTCAAACTCATCAAACATGGACCTCTTGAATTCTTCAAGCTGAGTTTGCTCGCTCCCTGTCACAAGTAAATCATCAACATACAAGGAAATGATCATAATATCTTCATCAATCTCCCTAACATACAATGTATGTTCATTTGGACTTCTTACAAATTCCAAATTTAGCAAGTGATTATTTATTCTACTGTACCAGGCCCTAGGTGCTTGTTTCAGGCCATATAAGGCCTTTCTTAGGAGATACACTTTGTCTACCTTTCCCCTGACTTTATACCCTTCTGGTTGCTCAACATATATCTCCTCATTCAACCATCCATTAAGGAAGGCATATTTGATGTCCAGCTGAAATATTTTCCATGAGAATTGGGCTGCCACTGCAAGTAGTAGCCGGATTGTGTCATGCCTTGCAACTGGTGCAAAGGTATCCAGAAAATCAACTCCATACTACTGAGCAAAGCCTTTGACAACCAGCCTTGCTTTGTGCTTAAGGACTGAACCATTTGGATTGAGCTTCTTCTTGAAAATCCATTTAACTTAGATCACTTTTCTGTTTTGAGGTCTGTCCACCAAGTTCCAAGTTTGATTCTTTTCAATCATTGCAAGCTCCTCCTTCCTGGCCACTCTCCACACCTCTGATTTTGCAGCCTTAAAGTAACATGTTGGCTCAAGTAAGGCCATGTTGCATCTCTCATAAACCTCAGCTAAAGGTCTGGTACCTCTAACTGAAATTTCATCTTCCACATCACTCTCAACATCATCAAAAATCTGCTCATGTACAGCTTCTGTCTAGCCTGGTTTTGTCTCTACATCAGGTTTGTTTTCTTCCCAATTCCATACTCCATCCTCATCAATCTTGACATCCCTGGAAATCTGAATTTTTCTGGTTTCTGGAACATATACCCTGTAGGCTTTAGATTGACTGCTATAGCCTATAAGAATGCCAATTAAGGCCTTTTCATCCAGTTTAGACCTTTTTGCTGTTGGGACCAAAACATAGCATATACTTCCAAATATTTTTAACCTATCTACTGCTGATTTAACTTCGTACCATGCTTCATAGGGTGTTTTGTTGTCCAAGGCTTTTGTGGGAAGCCTAGTGGGAAGCCTATTGAGCAGAAACACTGCTGTATTAACAACTTTTGCCCAAAATTTCTTTGGCAATCTCTTCTCAGCTACCATGTATCTAGCCATCTCTACAACTGATCTGTTTTTTCTCTCACTGACTCCATTTTGCTGTGGAGTGTAGGGGCTGCTGTATTGATGCTTAATTCCAGCATCTTTGCACACTTGCTTAAACTCTTGAGAAGTGTACTCTGTACCATTATCACTTCTCAAGATCTTTATGGTTTTTTCTGCCTGATTTTCCACCAGTAGCTTGAACTGTTTGAATAGACCAGCAGCCTGTCCTTTTTGCGTCAGAAAATACACCCAACACATCCTAGAATAGTCATCAATGAATAACACAAAGTATCTACTTCCATTTAATGACAAGGTTTCCATGGGACCACATACATCTGTATGGATGAGTTGCAATTTTTCAGTTACTCTCTAGGTTTGATTTGCGGGAAAGGATTGCCTACTTAACTTGCCAAGTTGACAAGCTTGGCACATGGTATCACTCTCCTCTAATTTTGGCAGGTTATGGAGCAGCTTCTTGGTCTGAATTTCTTTGAGACCTTGGTAATGGACATGACCAAGTCTCTTATGTCATTTCACAAATTCATCTACCTTTACACTGTAGGCCCTATGTTTAGTTTTTTTTAGTTTGATGGGAAAGCTTTTTCCCACCATTTTCACTCTCATTAACTCACACCCCTTACTATCTAAAATTTGACAGATTTGATTTTCAAAATGTAAAACATAATGGTTTTCTAACATTTGTCCTACACTTAGGAGGCTTTGAGTAATTTCGGGTGCATAGAGTACATTTGAGATGAGTTTTGTACCTATGGAGGTTTGGATTGCAACATCTCTCTTCCCTTTTGCTTCAACATAATCACCATTTGCCACTTTAATCCTGGACCGATGTGCTGAGTTCAATCTCACAAAATCCTGCAGATGTGGTGTCATATGGTTTGTACACCCACTATCAACCAGCCAGCCAGCCATCACCGCAGGTTGGTGGTGCACTACAAGAGGCCATAAACAACTATTTTACTCCTTGTTCAGGTTGCTAGTCCTTTGTCACTTGTGCTTGCTGTTAGGACTGCTCTCTCTTGCTCTTACACACCCTCTTTATATGGCCAAACTACTTACAAGCTCTGCATTGTATTCCTGGCCTAAACCAACATTTTTTTTCAGAGTGCCCCTTCCTTTTACAGTAGGAACAAGGTGGATATTCTTTCATCCCACTTGGTTTTCCCTATTGGCCATTACTCATTTCTTGTCCTTTCTTTTCACTAGCATACCTCCTGTTATTCCCTTGAACTGGTTTGGTTTTGTAAGTTGCCATCATTGCACCTTCACCAACATCTTCTTGCCTCAAGAGCCTTCTTTGCTCTTGTGTATGCAATGCATGAACCAGCTCTGTGAGTGTAACCTGTCCCATGTCTCTTGAGTCCTCTAAAGATGAGATTTTGGACTCAAATCTTTCGGGTAGGCTGACCAGGACTTTCTCCACCACTCTCATATTAGTCAACTCCACTCCTAGCAGTCTTATCTTGTTTACAACACCCATTAACCTATCAACATAGTCCTTGACCTTCTCTGATTCTTGTATCCTTTGCATCTCAAATTCTCTCCTTAAATTGAGCACCTGCATGTTCCTTGTTGTGGTGCTGCCCATGTACTCCTCTCTTAGCTTATCCCATGCCTTTTTTGGAGTCTCATATGCCATGATCCTTGTAAATACAAGGTCTGTTACAGCAGCATGAATGTGGGAGAGAGCTCTTGGTGCTTTGGCTGTTTCTTCCTCATGCAATCTCATTTGGTTCAGGGTAGGATTCTGTCCTAATAGAGGTGGCTGCCTGTTTTCTTCCACATACTGCCACAGCCCCTGACCCCGGAAGAAAGCCTTCATCTTTACAGCCCATATGTGGTAGTGCTCCCCATTGAATACTGGAGGTGACATCAGGGTTGATTGAGCAGCCATTGTTTCAAGTTTTGTGTTTGACACAGGGTAAACAAGAGTGCAGATGCAGGTTGTTTTAGGCTGAAAATGGGAGGTGTTCTTGAGTTGAGGTTGATGATTGAATGCAAGAGAGATTTCAGGTTGTTTTGGTGTTAAGCTCTGATACCATTTGTTGGTATTTGGCTGGAGAACTCTAAGAAAGAAAAGGAGAAAAAATGCTAAAAGTGAACTTTTTTTCATTATACTGTAACTTGAAATATATACACAACAAGGCTTACTGTTTTACCAACTACAACAACCATTCAGACTTTAAATTTTAAAAAACAAGTTGGCAACTTAATACAAGCTTATCTTACGCTGATTACACCTAAACATGTCACAAAATTAACAACTCCAGCACAACTCCAACGGCTTCAATTTCGGCAGAAAAGAAGGAATGCATCTACTGCTTGCTTCAACACCCCTGCACAATAAGCTAATAAAGATGGTAGTTTCCTGCTGAATGTAATCTCAAATGGAGTCATACCAGCGAAGGACTGGAACGAGGTGTTGTAATGGAACTCCGCCCAACTAAGGATTTTGGACCAATGGCTAGGCTACGCATGCACAACAGATCAAAGATATTGCTCGAGACAATGATAAGCCGAACTGAATTTTAGTTCTATCCCTTGCATGGTAAAGAGAGATTTCCAGAATTTACTTACGAAGATGGGGTCCTTATCGCTGATAATAGACTAAGGCAGTCCATGTAGTTTGCCAACTATGTCCTAGAAAACTCGAGCTATTGAAGAAGTTGTGTAATGAGGAAGAAGAGCTGCGAAGTGAGCTCCTTTGGAGAAACGATCCACAACGACAAGGATTGCGATGAAACCACTAAAATTTGGAAGATGGGTCACAAAATCCATAAAGAGGTCCACCGAAAGCATTGTAGGGGGAACAATTGATTGCAATAGGCCATAAGGTGAGTGATTTGTGGGCTTACATTTCTGAAAAGTTGCACAATTTTGCACATAGTGTTTGTGTTGATGCAGTGATACCTTACTGGAAATGCATCAATATTACAAGTTTTAGTTGGAACCTTTTTGGAGCCTGTTGAAGTTAGTTTGCTACAGTTGGTTTATCATGCATGGCTGCATTATTTTGGTGTATTGCAGTTGAATGACTTAAGCGTAATTAAGTTAGTAATATGATGTATTTTGAGTATGAATTATTGGTTGTTAAAATTTAAATTCAAATTTGTATATGTCTGAAGTAGTTGTTTAACAGTGGATAGTTGTTATGCTGCTATATATATTGTCCAGTTTGAATGAAAGAATCAGACTTTTTGCATATAAGTTTTGTTACTCTTTTTCTTTCTTTTGCATTCTCCGGCTAAGAACCATCAAATGGTATCAGGGCCACCTACAAAAATCTGAAACTTATTGCATCCAACCATCAACGACAACTTAAGAACTCCTTCGATTTTTAGCTAAAATCAGTCTGCATCTGCTCATCTCTTTTCTGCATCAGACACGAAAAAAAAAAAAAAAACAGAGACATGGCAACTCAATCTGCTTTGATTTCACCACTGGTGTTCAATGGGAAACATTACCACATATGGGCTGTTAAGATAAAGGCCTTCCTCCGAGGTCAGGGGCTGTGGCAGTATGTGGAAGAAAACAGACAACCACTTCCATTAGGACAGAATCCTACCCTAAACTAAATGAGATTGCATGAGGAAAAAACAGCCAAGGCACCGAGAGCTCTCTCTTATATTCATGCAACAATGACCGATGTTGTGTTCACAAGGATCATGGCATATGAGAATCCAAAGGAAGCATGGGACAAGCTGAGAGAAGAGTACATGGGCAGCACCACAAGAAGGAACATGCATGTGCTTAATCTAAGGATAGATTTTGAGATGCAAATGATACAAGAATCCGAAAAAGTCAAGGATTATGTTGATAGATTAATAAGTGTTGTCAACAAAATAAGGCTGTTGGGAGTGGAGTTGACAGATAAAAGAGTGGTGGAAAAGGTCTTGGTGAGCTTACCAGAGAGATTTGAGTCCAAAATCTCTTCCCTTGAGGACTCTAAGGACATGACTCAGATTGCTTTGACTGAGCTTGTTCATGCTTTCCAAGCTCAAGAGCAAAGAAGACTCTTGAGGCAAGAAGATACAAGTGAGGGAGCAATGGTAGCAAATAAAAAAGGCAAGCATGCACAAGGACAAAATAAGAGATATGCTAGGGATAAAAAGGGGAAAGAAAGAAGTAACAAACAGTGGGAGAAACCAAGTGGAGTGAAAGAGTATCCTGCCTACAGTCACTGCAAAAAGAAGGGATATTCGGAGAGGAGGTGCTGGTTTAGACCAGAGATACAATGTAGAGGTTGCAAACAATTTGGGCATATAGAGAAGGTTTGTAAGAACAAGGGAAGCCAGCTAACACAGTAAGCTCAGGTTGGAGAAGACCAGCAGTAATGTCAAGAGGCTGAACAGCTCTTTGTGGCCTCTTATTGCACAACACAAGCCATCAATGAAGCTTGGCTTATTGACAGTGGTTGGTGACCTGCAAAGTTTTATCAACTGGACAGCTCATACATTTCCAGAGTTAAAATTAGAAATAGTGATTTTGTTGAGGTCAAAGGCATAGGAGATGTGGCTATCCAAACTGGATTAGGTACTAAAATTATTTCTCATGTCTTGTATGTGCCTAAGATTAGTCAAAACTTATTAAGTGTTGGGCAAATGTTAGAGAAAGGTTACTCTCTACATTTTTCAAAACCGGGCATGCATCATAGTAGATCCTAATAGAAATGAATTAATGTATGTAAAAATGTTGGGAAAAAACTTCCCTGCTGAGTGGAAAAATTCCAGCAACTTAGCCTTATCATCTAGGCTAGAAGAGTCTGAAATTTGGCACAAGAGACTTGGCCACTTTCACTACAATGGCCTCAAAGAGTTAAAGAACAAAAATATGGTCCTGGACCTACCTGAGATTGAAGAGAAGAGAAGTCTCTATAGTGCTTGCCAACTTGGTAAGTTAAGTAGGCCACCATTTCCCTCGGATCAGACCTGGAGAGTAACAACAAAACTCCCACTGATCCATACTGATGTTTGTGGCCTATGCAGACTGAATCCATTAGTGGAAGCAGGTATTTTGTGCTCTTTATAGATGACTTCACATGGATGACATGGGTATACTTCTTGAAGCAGAAAAGTGAAGTACCTGTTGTATTCAGGAATTTCAAACTGCTGGTGGAGAATCAAGTTGGAACAATGATTAAATCCATAAGAAGTGATAATGGAACAGAATATACATCAAAGGAATTTTGTTCAATCTATCAAGAGGCTGGAATTAAGCACTAGTTCACTACACCTTACACTCCACAGTAGAATGGGGTCAGTGAAAGAATAAATAGAACCATCATGGAGATGGCAAGGTGTATAACGGCAGAGAAGCAGCTTCCTAAAAGGTTTGGGCTGAGGCTGTCAATACAGGAGTCTATCTCCTGAACAGACTACCGACTAAGGCAGTCAAGGGCCAAACTCCAGTTAAGGCCTGGAATAGAATTAAACTAGCAGTGAACTACTTGAAGGGATTTGGGAGTGTATGCTATGTTATGATTCCAGCAGGGAAGAGAACAAACCTTGATGATAAAGCTGAGATTGGTATATTCATAAGATACAGCAGCCAATCCAAAGGGTACAGAGTATACATCCCTGAGTCAAAGAAAATTGTGATAACGAGGGATGTAAAAGTGGATGAAAATGCAGTGTGGAATTGGGAGAATAAAAAGATTGATGTTGACTCCAAGCTATAGTAGCCAACTGAGAATTTGATTGAAGAAGTTGAAACTGAAGAGGATGAAGAGCCTTCGGTTAGAGGGACTAGAACCTTGGCTAATGTATATGCAAGGTGTAATGTGGTAGTGCTTGAACCAAAAAATTACGCTGAAGCTGTTGAGTCAAAAGCTTGGAGGAGTGCAATCTAGGAGGAGATATCTACGATATAGAAAAATAATACCTGGAGGCTTGTTGACAGACTTGGAAATAGGAAAATAGTCCGAGTAAAATGGATTTACAAGCTGAAGATTAATCCTGATGGTTCAGTCTATAAGCACAAGGCAAGACTTGTGGCTAAAGGCTTTGCACAGCAGCAAGGGGTGGACTACTCTGACACATTCGCTCCGGTGGCTAGACATGACACTATCAGGTTACTCCTTGCTATGACAACCCAATTTGGTTGGAAAATTTTCCAACTTGATGTTAAGTCAACATTTCTGAATGGCTGCTTGAGTGAGGAAATCTTTGTAGAGCAACCTGAAGGTTACCTGGTGAAGGGTGAAAAAGACAAGGTGTATTTGCTGAAGAAGGCCTTGTATGGCCTAAAGCAGGCACCTAGAGCCTGGTACAGCCGTATAAACGATCATCTAAGCAGCCTAGGATATGTTAGAAGTCCTAATGAGCATACACTATATGTTAAGGAAGCTAAAGGTGAATTGATTGTGATATCTTTGTATGTGGATGATCTATTGATTACAGGAAGCAATGCAGATCAATGAGTTAGTTTAAGAAGTCCATGCAATCTGAATTTGAGATGACAGATTTGGGGGAGATGACATACTTCCTTGGTATGGAGATTGTTCAGTCCAACAATGAAATTTTTGTGTGCCAAGAAAAGTACGCAAATGAGGTACTCATAAAGTTTGGCATGGAAAATTCCAAACCTGCAGACACTCCACTAGTTCCTAATTTGAAGTTGAGTAAGAATGATGGTGAACTGAGTGTGGATGAAGGATTGTTCAAAAGTCTGGTTGGATGCTTGCTGTACTTAACAGCCACATGACCAGACCCCATGTTTGTTGCTAGTTATCTCTTCAGGTTTATGAGTTGTCTAAGTGAATTGCATTATAGGGCAGCCAAGAGAGTGTTAAGATATGTGAAAGGGACCTCCAGGCTTGGCATTTGGTACAAAAGGTCTGAAAATCTGGTCTTGTTAGGCTATACTGACAGTGATTGGGGAGGGTCACTTGATGACATGAAAAGCACCTCAGGTTATGTGTTCTACATCAAATCTGGTGCAATTAGCTGGCTATCAAAGAAGCAGGATACTGTGGCATAATCCACAGTAGAGGTAGAATATATTTCTACTGCGGTAGCTGTGAATCAAGTTGTTTGGCTTAAGAAAGTCTTAGCAGATTTGAAGTAGAATCAAGGAAGTCCAACTCCAATTTTGTGTGACAACCAGTCTGTTGTTGCCATGGCGAAAAATCAAGTTCTTCACATGGCGAAAAATCAAGTTCTTCACGACAGGACCAAGCACATTAAGATAAAGTTCCATGCTGTAAAGGAAGCTGAATACAATGGAGAAGTTACTTTGATTCACTGCCGAGGTGAGGACCAAACTGCAGACATTATGACCAAAGCATTGCCTAAAGTCAAGTTTGAAGAACTTAGACTCAAACTTGGTGTTTCCAGCAAAGGTATCAAGGAGGAGTGTTGATGCAGTGATACCTTGCTGGAAATGCATCAATATTACAAGTTTCAGTTGGAACCTTTTTGGAGCTTGTTGAAGTTAGTTTGCTACAGTTGGTCTAACATGCATGGCTGCATTATTTTGGTGTATTGCAGTTGATTGGCTTAGGAGTAATTAAGTCAGTAATATGATGTATTTTGAGTATGAATTATTGGTCGTTAAAATTTAAATTCAAATTTGTAATTGTCTGCTGTAGTTGTTGTAACAGTGGATAGTTGTTATGCTGTTGTATATATTGTCCAGTTTGAATGAAAGAATTAGACTTTTTGCATATAAGTTTTGTTACTCTTTTTCTTTCTTTTGCATTCTCCATCCAAGAACCATCAGTTTGATGTCGTTTCGGACGCCTTTCCAAGTAAAATATGCACAAATATGCTGGGTAGTCAGTCCGTCGAATGCCAGCATGACCACCTTGTAAAGAGGAATGGTATTCATGCAAGATCTTAGGAATAAGAGCTGACTTGGCTAGTAAGTAGAGTTTGCCTTGAAATAAAAGCAATTTGCCAATAAGCTTCCACTGCGGCTAGTTGCCAGGATTGTTTTGAAGCGCGTCTATGATTTGCTTAGCATACTGATCCTGGACCAATTCTTCTTCCAACACAACGATATCAGAACTAGTAGGATAAGACAGTGAAAACAATTGTCCAGTTGCGACTGGGGCCTCCAAGTCTTGTGCTTGGGAGAGGGCATTAGAGGCATCGGGCTTGTACACGATAGTGTAGCGGAATCCTAGTAGTTTAGAGAGAAATTGTTGTTGCTTGGGTGTTTGAATCGTTTGTGTCAGCAAGTTGTGTAAGCTCTTGTGATCAGTCTGAATAAAAAACAAATATTGATGCCATTTTGCCACGATTGATGTAATGGCAAACATCTCCCGAATGTAAGTTGATTTCCCTTGCATTGTCTTCGACAGTTTACGGCTGTAGAAAGTAATAGGGTGATGATTTTGCATAAGTACTGCACCAATGCCAATGCTGGAGGCATCAGTTTCAAGCACGAAGGGAATAGAAAAATTAGGCAGAGCCAGAATTGGGGTATCAATCATAGCTTCTTTGAGTGCGTGAAGGCAGCCATTGCATGGTCAGTCCAAAGAAAGCCATCCTCTCATAGGAGATCAGTGAGAGGAGCAGCAATTGAGGCGTAGTGTTTGACGGAATGTCAATAATATCCTGTGAGACCTAAGATTCCTCTCACTTGACGTTGAGAAATTGGAACCGACCAGTCTTTGACGACGAGAAGTTTTTTTGGATCGGGAGCAACCACCGCGGCAGAGATTAGATGCCCCAAAAAATCCACGTGTATTGACCAAATGAACACTTAGAAATTTTAGCAAAGAGGTTGTGAAGGCGGAGAACATCAAGGATAGCATGTAGGTGCGCTCTTGATGGTCCCTTAAATCCTGACTATAAACCAGAATGTCATAAAAAATAAAAAATAACCACAAATCTACGAAGAAAAGGACGAAATACCTCCTTCATTGTGGCTTAGAACATGGCTGGGGCGTTTGTAAGGCCAGAAAGGCGTGATGACGAACTCAAACTGCCCATGATGAGTGCAAAACGCTGTTTTCGGAATGTCAAGGATGGTAGCAGCATTGAGAGCATGATAATCCACAAAAAAACGCCATGTACTGTCCTTCTTTTTAACCAATAAGACCAGGGAGTTAAAGGTCAACTGGCTAAGACGAATGATCCCCAAGGAAAGCATTTCTTGAACCATCTTTTCGATCTCATTCTTTTGGAAATGAGGGTACAGATACGACTTCACATTAATTGTCGTAGTACCTTCTGTCTATTGGATACGATGGGTAAAAGACCGCACAGGAGGCAGCTCGGTAGGACTAGTGAAAACATCTGCAAACTCGTCTATAATTGGTTAGAGCACCTCCTCGGTTGGCAATAAAGGTGCTGATTCGACTGCCAATTGAGAAAAAAACATTTTCTGGAGAAACCCATAACCCCATGAAGCAGAAGGAAACACTGTTGGTGGCAATCAATTTATAGAACTAAGAAGGAGAAACCTAACCAGAACAGATGGTGTGAGCACCTTCCAAAAGAACAGGGCGATCGTGCCATTGAAAACTCATCATAAGACCAGCATAATTAGTTATGATGGTTCCTAAGGCAGCAAGCCATTACACACCCAGCAGTGCATCTGCCCCTTGCAAATCCAAAACAAATAAATCCAATGATAAGGACCAATTGAAATCACTATAGGATCATAGCAGCCACTGGTTTCCTTAAACCCGCGAAGCATCCTAGAACTTTATCTTTGACCACCTTCTTTTTGTTTAATCACCTCCTGCTGATTCTTGCAGCTTCCACCTTTCACGACAGGTTCAATCCACCTTCTTTCACCCTCAGAAACAAGAACTACACTCTCAGTCACTTCTAATGGTGTTGATTTTGGTACGGAATTGGGTTTCAATTAAACTGTAAAAGGCCATAAGGCAAGATCTAGTATCAGATTTATTTTTAAACATATAAACCCATGTTGTCCGAGAGTGGTCATCAACAATTGTAAGAAAGAAACGTGATCCATCTACTGCAACAATGGAGTTGGGACCCCATATATCACAATGGACAAGATCAAAGTTATTTAAAGCAGAATGTGCAGAAGTTGGGAAAGAGACACGCCGTTGCTTAGCCAAAGGACAAATTGAACATGGTATTTGATTATGAAATGTTTGATTGTGTGTTATAGTGGAACAGTGATCAGTGATATTAGAGGATGAATCATCTTCTTTGCGAGCGTCGGCCATTGATCGGTTGCTCTGATACCATGAAACAAAGGAAAATGAAACAGAGGAAGACAGAATTGTAGAGAGAAATTTCCTCGTGTCTATTATGAATAATGCCAATGATACAAATATATACAATAACCAAAGAATATTCTAACAAACTTATCCTATACAATGACAGCACTGCCCTTTATGTACAACTCATAAACAGAGTAACAGAATTCAGGTAACCATGCCATCCTTCTCTTTGTTGACGTGGTGCTGTGATGATTCATCCTTCTCTTTGTTGACTTGGTGCTGTGATGATTCATCCTCTAATACTAACTCCTCCGAGGAGAGATAAATAAAAAATGCATCAATCAAGATAACATAATTTTCCAAATGTGGAGACATTAGTAATATAATATTTTCACAACTCTAATTCCATTTCTAGAATCGGTTTCTGCAACATCACAGACATCAACTCAATCAAAACAAAATACAAACAACTGTTACTGGATCAAAAATTTTAACATCACACAACAAAACAAGATCAGTCGATGAACATCTCAACATCACACAATTAAATATGAAAAGAAACAAAACTACAAGAAGATCACACAAATTTCATAGAAAACAAAGAAAAGAAAATACCTGAATTGAGTTACGTTTTGAAAGAAAGATGACCAAAAATAGAAGAGGATAGGAATAGAGAGATGTGGGTTGTGGAGCATTTATAGAAGTAGAGTTAGTTTTGGTAGTGTCACCTGAAAGCATCCTAACAGTCGGCCATAGCAGACACTTTATGAATTTGGAGAGTTTGGTTGGACGTGCACTCAAGGTGATCTTACCGCTTTCTTCTAAGTTGTTAAGGTTTCCATGTGCCCATTGAGTAATAAGCCCAAAGCCATTCACATGAAGCCATATACAATTGGACCCAAATGTCAAATATGAAGATATGAGCTTCAGCCCATAGTTGAAGAGTGATAATTAGATCATTTACTGAACATCTAGGTCCACAACTTTCTCTCGTAACTTTTGACATCGTAGTTCGCAATTGGTCAACTTTCAATTGAGTAGGTGAGACCCATAGCAAGCAGACGAGACCCATTTGTGAATTGATCAATTACGAACTCTCACGTTAGGGGATGTAAGAGAAGATTATAAGATTGAGTTGTAGAGCTAACATTACTCTTACCATAATTTGGTGAAGGCACTAATTGCATGTAGATGGTCGGGTCATGATTTAATCAAACAAAAATGTTACATGTACAAAAGTTATACCAAAATTGTTTTTTCAAGTGATGGTGTAATTCTATGTCTTATTGAGATATGAATGAAGTGATGATTTGGTAAATAATACAGCAATGCCGAATAAAATATAATTTCACTAGGGATGTGAATTTCCGAATATACTTTAGAATGTGTAATGTCACTCTTATAGCGTTAATATTGGTATTGATACTATATATTATTAAATATCACAATATATAACATAAATAGTTTAATGAATTAAGTATTAATAGAAGATGAGATTAATAAATTAAACTGATTTTTTATATATAAAATGAAAGAAAAATATTATGTATTAGTTAATATTTATATTTTGATTGATTATTAATATATATCATTGCCCTCACTCACAAAATTGGCGGGGTCTCTCACTAGTCACCGTTAGGGGGATAAATTATACAATTTAATATAATCTGAGGAAAAATTGAGTGGAGTGGAGTTATAACTAATTTAATTTACATAGAGAAAAAGTGAGTGAGATCAAGTCAAAAACTTTAACCCAAATACCGTCAAATTTGGTGCCACAACCATATGCATATGCGGCTGTTAAAGATGGAATAGAAAAGCATTAGAAAAACAGGTTGAAGATTTGGTTGGCAGAGTGGTTGCATACTCATTTCACTAGCCCTTGGATGTTTCTTGCTTTTATTGGTGCAGTTTTAGCACTTGTCTTGACTGTTATTCAGACTTTAGAATTGTTTAAGCCAAGAAAGAGCTAATGTACACCATTACATTTATCTACAACATAATGTTCGTCTGTGTTTGTTTTTCTGGGGCAATGACATATGTATTTTTGCTTACTTGAATAAAATATGAGGTGTGATTTTATTGATATGACTTTATTATTATCAAGTAATCTTTTTGAATTCAGGAATATTTCACTTTTAATTGGGAAACATTATAGGATTTCTAATGCTTGCAATTGTTACCATATATATAAAGTATATGAGAATCAACCAAAACGGAGAAGTTTCAACGCCAGAGACAAAGACAGAGTGTCAAGAGTGTGGCAAAATGTTTTACTAAAGAGCAACGATAGTAGACATTCATAGACCTATTAAGGGACCAGTGGGGACTCGTGACCCCACAGGTTTTTTAAAATTAATTTGAGGGTATTTGGGTTAAAGTTTATAGATTCGATCTCACTCACTTTTTCTCTATGTAAATTAAATTAGTTATAACTCCATTCTACTCAGTTTTTCATCTATTTATATTAAATTGTATAACTTGCCCACCAACAATAAATCAAAATATAAATATTAACCAACGCATAATATTTTTCTTCATTTTATATATAACAACTCAGTTTAATTTATTAATCTCATCTTATATTAATACTTGATTCATTAAACTATTTTTGTTGTATACTATGATATTTAATATAGTATATAGTATCAATACCAATATTAGAGTTATTAATTTCTTTTATTATGATTTGATTTTTTAAAATATTTCTTTCAATTTTAAAGATATAAATGTATGAAATAAATAAATGAAAAGAAAGATATAAGATTTACTTATATTATTAACTAATCTTTGTAGTAATTTCTACTAACTTCAAGTCATATCCTACAAAAATACTTTAACACTATAATGAGTGAGATGGGGAATGGAGAAAGCCTCCCTGCCCCTAAACCGATGAGAAATTTGTTAGAGTTTGTGAACTCTAGTTAATGTATAGATAGCCATTTTTAAAGTGTAGTGAAAGTTTTTACTAAATTGATTAATGATTATCAAGTTAAGCGTGAATCGACAATCATAAATAATAAATGTAAAACATACCAGCATATACATGGTTCGGCTAGAACCACTCTTAACCTACATCCATGGGATCTCATCCAGATCGAAGCAAATACACTAAACAACAAATATTACAAGATATAGTTCAAAGTTGATTTTAGCTACAGTAAAGAGAATTCCCTATTCTAGCTACACTAAACATCTCCCTCTGAATCTCTAATGTCTTGTTGCTCCAAGGACCTCTTCATGTTAAGAACATGCCCAAAGAACACTTGAGCTCTACTCAAGCTTCACACGCCAAAGCCACGCTCCAGCATCAACAAGAACCAAGTTCCAGCCACCATTCAACAAGTACATGAGATGATGCAAGTTTGGCCCAATAACATAGCATGAACCTTCTAACGGAAAACACTTTCTAAATATTTCATAGCACAAGCAAATAAAATATCAAAAGGTTTGTCACAAATGCGCAAGATTAAAGATAATATGAAAGAGTTTTCTTGCTCAACAATTTGTGCCAAGTTAGCAAACAAGGGCCGACTCATGTTTGTCCAAATAAGGAAAAGATTCCAACTTTAATTTTAGACCACAGCCAAATCGGAAAAACATGGTTTTTCCTTGGACCACAAAAGGATTGGCTAGAACGTCAATATCCAATCATCAATAATCGAAATAACTATAACCCTTTTTTATCTTTGATTCCCTAACTCGTCTGAGAAGAGATAAATAAAAAGTGCATCAATCAAGATAACATAATTTTCCAAATGTGGCTTAAAATCTAGACATTAATAATATTTTCACAAACTCTAATTCCATTTCCGGAATCGGTTTCTGCAACAAAACAGACATCAACCCTACATATTATTTCAAGTGAAGCATAATTCTATGTATTATTGAGATGTGAATGAAGTGATGATTTGGTAAATAATACAACAATGCCGAATAAAATGATAATTTCACTGAAGATGTGAATTTCTGAATATACTGTAAAATGTGTAGTGTCACTCTTATAATGCTAATATTGGCATCTATACTATATATTATTAAATATCATAGTATATAACAAAAGTTGTTTAATGAATCAAGTATTAATATAAGATGAGATTAATAAGTTAAATTGATTTGTTATATATAAAATGAAGAAAGATACTATGCATTAATTAATATTTATATTTTGATTTATTATTATTATATATAATTGCCTCCACTCACAAAATTGACGGGGTCTCTCACTAGTCACTATTAGGGGGATAAGTTATACAATTTAATATAATCAGAGGAAAAATTGAGTGGAGTGGAGTTATAACTAATTTAATTTACATAGAGAAAAGGTGAGTGAGGTCGAATAAAAACCTTTAACCCAAATACCATCAAATTATTGAACTTTTTTTTAGTGGGGGGCTCATTGGTCCCTTAAACAGGTCTATCAATGCCTACTATAGTTGCTCTTTAGCAAAATATTTTGGCGCACTCATGACATTGCCTTTGTCCCTCGCGTTAAAACTTCTCCATTTTGGTTGATTCTTTTATACTTTATAAATAATAATTGCAAGCATTATAAATCCTATAATGTTTCCTAATTAAAAGTGGAACATTCTTGAATTCAAAAAGATTACTTGATAATAATAAATTCATATAAATAAAATCACACCTCACATTTTTTTCAAGTAAGTAAAAATACACATGTAATTGCCTCACAAAAACAGCTACAGACGAATATCGTAGATAAATGTAATGGTGTATTAGGTAATACTTGGCTTCACCGATTCATAAGTCTGAATAACAGTCAAGACAAGTACTAAAACTGCACCAATAAAAGCAAGAAGCGTCCAAGGGCTAGAGAAATGAGTATGCAGCCACTCTGCCAACCAAATCTTTAACCTGTTTTTGTAATGCTTTTCTATTTTATCTTTAACAACCGTATACGCATGCTGGTGTGACACCAAATTATCAGCTATCTCATTAAAAAGATCAGCAACTTGTTGATCACTTCCCAGAAAATTCAGAAGTATACCTTTTTTCCGAAGCTCCATTACGTCTTCAGCATGATCAATCAGTGAATCCATCAAGCATATGTATGAAGAAACTCCAAAATCGTCAGGACCATTGGGGCTGGACTCGTATGCTACCATGTTTAGCAGCATAGACTTTGTTGAATCATCAATGCATACTGGTGGAAGTTCCAGTTTTGCGAGATAACCGGGTTGAAAAGCAACGTCTGTGAATTTGTTAGTCTTGCTAGGCCTGAAATGGATTCCCACCGCCTTGAGCTCCTTCACTGACCGGTATGAACACCAGTCACTACAACCGGGAGGAGGCGGTTTAGTCAAAACGGTTTTGTCGAAGAGATTAGTGCGAATGAGGTCTAGAAGATGAGCAGGTTCACAATCAGATGTTCCTGCTATCACATCTTGTGCACCGTCTCTTCGCCAAAAAGCTAAATTACAAAGAAAAATGTTCACGCTTTTCTTGTTACTTTGACGACGAAGACTACGAATATTTGTAACAAACTTATTTAACATTGTCTTAGTCGTTTCATTTCCGAATTTTGACTTGATGCTCAAATCATTGAGGAGTTGAAAAGGAATTTGATTTTCCAGTAAGAACAAGTCTCGTTGAACGAGAGCTATCATGTTGTTTTTCATCTTTAAAGCCTCTCGTTTTTCTCTTACAATGCAGTTGATGAACTGAAGGAGGAAGCAGGCATCAAGAAACATCATCTGAGAGAACTCCTCGTTGTTGAACTTGGCGACGGAGCTCTGGTCAGTGTAGCATTGTTTTGCAGCTTCCGCCACGCACCTGACCTTCTGATACAACTCTTCCAGCAACTTCAAGTCCCCATGTACATACTGGACCGCCATTGTATGTTTGTACCGCTGCATTAACTCAAGCCTGGTATTTCCAAAGTGGTAAGGACCGATTGAAACCACCATAGGATCATAGCAACTACTGTTATCTTTAACCTCACGAAGCATTGCTGGAACTCTCTCTATCTTCGGCCAGATCACCTTGTGCTGATTCTTGAAGCTTTCGCCATTCACGAAAGATTCAAGCCACATTTTTTCATTCTCAGAAAGAGGACCTGGTGGATTGGCACCATTTGTAAGGATTACAATACTCTCTAATTGATTCTCACCACCACCTGCTAGGCTGCTGCCGCAACCGGCTTCTCTTTCTCCCATTATTATTATTCTCTGTATTTCAAGTATAGTTGGTTATGTTATCAGTTTAGCAAGTCCCGAGCTGCTTATAAATTTGATGAAACAAACAAATCGTAAATAACAGTCTACTTGTGATTTGAATCAAGTATCTCAACTTTTCTCTGTTATCAAGCTTGGAATTGCTTCTGCTACCAGTTTCAAAGAATAAACACTTTAGAAAGTGAGAATAATTATGTACCTTATTATTTATAAGTACGACTTTGTAATGTTTATAATCTTTAGTTAGAAAAAGAGTTTCCTTTAATTTATTCTATTATAAGGTGATGGCCCCCATCACAAGAACAATATGTACGACATCTTCTTATGAACAAATTAATTAAGCAAGTAATCTATAGTTGGTAATATTTTCAGTTGCATTAATATTTAAAACAAAAAGTAGTACAATCATCCAAAAACAAAAGAAAAGGTTGAAAATATGTATTTAAACAAATTTAGCTACAAAGATCTTATCTTCAAATCTAATAAAAAACTTGTAATAGAGAAAACGATGCTGCCTTTAACGTATTGCTAATTGTATGTTACTGTTAACTAAAAGTCTTCACACCCTTGACCTGATGTTTCTTCAATCACAAGCCTCTCACCTTCAACAGGTATATATATATATATATATATATATTTCATGGTATAAAATAAATAGGCATTCGAAACGAGTACATGCTCAAGCATCATTATTGACCAACTCCATACCAATTGTGATTCATTTCAGTATGAAATATAATTGAAAGTGATTTGATTGCTTTCTAAAAACTCCATTATGGAACCCTCAAGGATTCCGGCCTCACTGTACCCACACACAGACACTTTACTTGAACATCCTATCTAACTAGGTTCCCTTTTGAGAGGTATGTAACATGTGGGCTGCAGAATCAAGCAGGGGGCATTCCAATGGCAATAGCTACCTCAAGCAAGGCATAAAGCAAAGAACATAGTCATATAAGAACTTCCTTTACTTATTCATAAATGAAAGTACGGTACATAAATAAATCTTCTACAAGGAAATTTATCATCTCAAAAAACAATAAATAGAAAAGTGAAACATATACCAACGCTATTTCCTCTAACCATTCACTATATATCATCATGGGTGTTTAAAAAGTACAAAATTTCAAACTAATAATAAAGAGATGAAAATCACCATGAATTAGCTATAGGACAGCAGCAACAACAGCAACATTAATTAAAATCGATCCCACGAAGTCCACCCTTCTTCAATTCATGAACATCAGCGATAGTAGTCCCATCAGGTGAAGCAACATCATCTTTAAGAATTAGTCACCACTCATGCTGCTTCCAATACCTGCAAAGAAATACTTTAGTTGGCTGTGCAGAATGATTTTAAAATAAAATTATACTAATTCTGAAGCTTAAGAAAACAGTTACATGAAAGAGGTAAGAAACTGGAAAAAACATAAACCCAGAAATATAAAACTGAAGAGAAACAAATGAAAAACTCACTTCATAAAATTTTACTCATTGTTGTGCGGTAAAAATAGTCAGCCCGGGATTAGTTAAGGAGCTCGGGGTACAGCTCTTTCCAGGGTGTACTGATGTGCAAATTAAATACTCGCAAGCGCACGAATCACTAATAGCTAGCGATAAGTATATTTCCAAGGTCGATCTCTTGTGAAATTACAGTGGTCTAAATTCTTAATTTATTTTCTTTAATAACTAAAATAAACAATTAATTAAATCCTAAACACTCTAACCAAAAGATTGATGAGATTAATCTAAAATAAAACTACAAATTAATGAATGTAATCTGTTGAATGTAAACTGAATCAATGAGAGTGATAGTGGGGATTTAGCTAACTTCTCAATTAAGTATTGGAATATTTGGCAAATAAAACAATTAAATCTTAAGTTCAGATTGTTGAATTTTCCACTAAGCCATTGAGAATTCCATTGATCACATTTATTCTCCGTTTATAACTAACTAATTAACTTATATGATCAAGTTGTTAACTAATTAATCACAATCTGCACAAGGAAATCACAACAGCCATCCAAATCAAAACAATGATCATGTATTCAATTTGAACTCTTGTTTAATAGAGCTTAATTAAATTTTAATTATAAAAAGTAGTTGACCAGTTAACAAATTATAATTAAGATCATGAAGAACAATTAAACAAGAAACAATCTAAAAACTTTCATAAAACAAATCACCAAATACCCAACACAATCATGATAGTTAAACTAAACTCCCACAATATATTTAGTTGCTCATAATCAAACTCAAACCAATGAATTCAATGAATGAAAAACTAATCATATTGCAAAATAAGATGTAACTGAAAAGAAATCACCTAGAAATCAAAGTAGAATGATCCTCTTCCTTCTCTCTCTTGTTAAAAACTCACAATTTTCTCACACTGAAGACACACTCTCAAAAACGTAAAGACCATAAAAAAAATCCACACAAATCTAGTCTCTTGTGTTAAAAGTATATATTTATGGCCTAGGGTTTTTAAGGGTATGATTGGGAATAAAACAAATAATAAATCGGGTAAAACTAACAAAAATTCATGCACTTAAGGGTCCCGGATGCTCACTGCAGCGATCATCAATTGACTTAATGTTTAAATTCCCAAAACATGTTCACTGTGGCGAAAAAAATGGTTGCTGCGGTGATCATCCTGCAATGCACCTGATATCTTTAGAATTTGACAAAATCATCAACATAAGAATTGTAACTCTATGAATCAGCTTTCCAACGCCACAAGAATCATCCAATTCAGAGTTCCACAGCTCAAGGTTCAATCAAGATACTGAAGCATGTTCACAATTCAAGAAAATTCCAGGATTTGAATCTCATCTTCAAAGCACCATAACTTCCTTGTTTCAACTCCGATTCTCAATCCATTTGCATGATTTTTTCCAAATGCATTCCAAAAGCTCATGTACCTTCAAAATGGTAGAAACCACCTCAAAGTAACATATTCTTAAAGTAAAACACACAAATAACAGCTAAAAACATAACAAAAATACTATGACAACTATTGATTTATCATGTACATTGAGCTTGGGGACAGAGACGAACCAAGGAAAGCGTGAATGGTCAATAAGCATATACGAGCTCGACATTTGGCAAGACAGAAAGAGGGATCCGCCATGTGAAAACGTCCCTTCACTTGGCTAAATCACTTTACCACATATAAACTACTTACCCCAATCGACGACATGTAATCAAGCAAACTCCACATGCCTTTCATGTAGTTGAAACTAAAGGGTAGCCTATAAGGGCACCTACGCCCAAGAGGGACACCATCATTCTCTATGGGGAAGGGGCATGTGACCGCTAACCACTGTGTGACATATGACAACCCCCAATTGCTGCACTTGTCATCATGGCAGTTCCAAGGTTATGTTTAAATAAAGAAGACAACCGAATAAAAAGGGGTTCCAAAAAAATCTTATGTAACTCAATTCACATTGACATTTGAATAAACACAGTAGTGGACGTAGGCTCTGTTTATTTTTCAGTCAAACCACTCTAAAAACATTCTGTTTTTGCATCATCATTGGGGAGACCCATCACCATCATAACCATCACGATGCATGGATTAGCCCATCTCTACTAACTCCCTAAAGTCATGCTCACATCCTACTCGGTTCCATATATCCTTGGTTGATTGAGTGCCTTTGGTTGATACGGGTTCTAGTCTCGATGTTTTAGTTGATATGGGATTTTGCATCAACATTTTGGCGCTAAAAGGAGGGTCTCTGCCCTTGAATGTTTTGATCCACGCCCTTTTCAATGTCGATTGCCATCATCGCCGACCAGTTCACCTTCTTAGCGACGATGAACAACTCTTGATTGTGATGGCCACCAATTCTACATTTTGATTCAAATAAGTATAAGACTCTCTTAATCTGCGCATGCACAAGGACGAGCCTCCTGGTAGCTTGATCGAGGAGCTGTGTGAGGTCCCTGTTGACGATTGCCCACCAGCGCTCTTAGAATCGAGAGCAATCTCAAAGGATAGACACGTGATCGATTGATTGCCTTCTCGAAAGAAAATCTAGATGTCTTTGCTTAGGAACAGGCAGACATGGTTGGAATAGACACTGAAGTCATGTGTCATAGGCTCAATATCGACCCTAAAGTTTGGCCTATTCACTAAAAAAAGAGAGCAATGGACAAAGAATGGTCCCAAGCGCTCAAAAAGGAGGTTGAAAGACTCCTCAAGATAAAATTTTTTAGGGAAGTCAAATACCAAAGTGGCTCACCAACCCTGTGCTTGTCAATAAATTGAACGGTAAGTGGAGGACATGCACTGACTTTACAGTCTTCAATAAGGCATGCCCTAAGGACAACTTCCCCTTTCCTTGAACCGATCAACTGGTAGACACAGTGGTAGGAAACACCTTGCTCAACTTCATGGATGCCTACTCGTTATACAATCAAATCTCGATGTATGAATCCAACAAGCACACCTCATTCATCATGGATCGAAGCCTTTATTACTACAAGGTCATGCCATTTGGCCTAAAGAATGCAGGCGCAACCTATCAACAGCTAGTAAACAAGATGTTCATTGACCTCATTGGAAAGATGATAGATAGAGGTGTATATTGACAATATGTTGGTAAAATCAAAGAAGACTGAAGATCACGTTGGGCATCTTAGGAAAATGTTATGTATCCTAAGGGAATATCAAATGAAGCTCAACCCCTTGAAATGCGCCTTTAGGGTGGGCTCGAGAAAATTCCTACGCTTTATGGTGAACTAGTGTGGGATCGAAGCAAACCTTGAAAAGATCCAAACACTATCAAATATTAAAAGCCCGGTGAAACCAAAGCAAATTCAAAGCTTAACAGGGTGAGTCTCAACCCTTAGTAGGTTCGCTTCCCTAGCCACTGATAGGTGTCTACCTTTTTTCAAAGTGCTCAAAGGCAGCAAGAAGTTTGAATGAATAATGGAGTGCGAGTGCACTTTCCAAGAGCAAAAGGATCACATC